TACGAAATAATAAGCTCCTCAAGAGAGCTTTTCTATTTGGATAGCGGAGAACGAATGATTGGCCCACTATTGCGCAAAATCGAAATAACGAAGATCATAAAAATGCAGCAAAACAAGAACGTCAACGACCCTTTATTGTCTTTGAAGAGCCTTGTTGGTCAATCTGATTTGACATCTATAGCCAACGCGCTTAATACGGCCCTGGATTCAACTTCGTATTCTGTATGAATAATGCACTACCATAGTTTGCGGTTAATCTCAAAAGCCGGCATATTAATGAACTTCCGGAATCAAATAGCATCAAATCCAACTTAGTCAATCAACACACACCCACCATAGAAATATCAAACTGCCCTTGAATTTTATACAAAGAAAACATTTATTTACCAGATGGACTCTGTGAGGAAACATTTATAGTTTTCGAGATATTACCATATCAATTTGATGCGGTTCAAACTGTAAGGAGATCAACATACCAACATCGGTAGTTAATTTTTAAGTCGTCACCTTCCTGATTCGCCGATACGTTACGAACCATACACGGTATTCGAAATGGTATTATTTGTGATTAGTGAAATTTCAAACTGACTGCTGCTGCAGCTAATCAGCCAGGGGATAAGTTACTGGTTTCACGATCAACTTATGTATTCACAAGCTTTCTATACTTAAGTAAAAGCTGGTTATTGTCAAAAACCTGCAGGTATGTCACAGACCGGCACAGCTGTTACGTACCTTGACATGTGACATTATATCGATTTTTTGAAATTCTTAAAGTTTTTTGTGTCATAATGTAGGTTTTTCTACAAGATATTAACTTAGCACTAGCTGATGGACACGTTGTTAGCTCGTTTTGTGTTGTACGTGTTGCCTAAACGTCATAAGGCTTCAGTTATCAATTTTTGGCTCTGATGAGATTTAAAATCTGCTTCAGAGATGTCATTACTGGAGGTCTTAGCTATAAGTTGTATACTATAGCTAGAAGGAAACGGCAGTGTATAGATGCATAGTGAGGATTTGTGTGTTAATAATATGTGTTGATGATAATTCCATTGGATTCTTGTCTCAAATACACTTACTTGAGATTCAAAGCTAGAAATTAGTTGCGCATCCACTTTTTTATTCATTCTGGAAATTACATATGCAAATTTACTGAATTTAATGAGAGAGATAAGAAATAATTGTATTCACTGTACACTGTCGAATTACAAGTCATATATATGCTAACCGTAATTACACACAACGCAGGCGCGGTGGTGGTTTTCCGTAAAAACGTAAAGAATCGTAATTTATAACTTTGAACATAACCTGTCTTCAGAAAGGACAATATATAAATGACCCGTCGGGCACAGCTGTTAGATACACCTCATTATCAGCATATTCAGTAATAACTTTTTCACACACCAAATATCACATGCAGACCAAGACACATAATGAGATGCGATCTTGCTACTCAACAAACTTTCTTCTCAGAGATGACAACTACAGACTACTCAGCTTCACAAAACATATGCATCCAACAATACGCGTAGTTGAGTCTTTCCTCCATAGATGGACGCTCAAAACCTGGAATGACTGTTTGTACCCTAAAAACTACCTAGTCTGCAAGATGACGTTTTATAGGTTTTTCTTAACGTTTTATAGGTTTTTTACATAATACATGTGCCGCTCAGAAATATGGATTGACTTCTGTGTCATATAGTTAGGAAGATGCAGAATCACCCAATAGTGGTTCGATGAATCTATATATTGAAATATAGTAGGCATCAAGTATAACCTATCTGGTGTAAAGTGACCAGTGCTAGAGCCTTCCATGGCGGCAGGGCTATTATGTAAGAAATCGATATAATATCATTAAAAATCGGCATAATGTCAACTTTTGTACTAAGTAACCGCACCCTCTATGAACGTCACCTATGGTGGAATGGCACAACATTCTGGCAATAGCATCACATCAGAGCCGAACCTTATAGCTCAAGTATCATGATGTTTAGACTATACGCACAGCTACTACAAGTGAGCATGAAGTGTAAGCAGTTAGTTCCAAGGTGAAATTTTTGAAAAAGACCTACATAACGTCGTTAAAAATCGATAAAATGTACTTTTAGGTCAGGTTACACGGGTATGGCCCTACGCTCAGGAGGAGGATTATATATCACGGGTGCTTACAACTAACAGTGGTGCGAAAAGAGTTGCGGGCTAAATTTGCCAATGTCAAAAACTATGTTTAGCACTATTCGCTGTTTATAACGTTTACGATTTGGATCTAAAGCAGGAAGGATCGGATTCACCCCGTTTCAGAGATATGATACTACATGCATGCTTTGTGTCACGGAGTGAAATACATAGTAATCCTAAGTACTATGAAACATTCGATTTAATAATCAAATGCAAACATCAAAAAGATAATGCAGTATAACAAGGGTATATTTGCTGGACTAAGCAAAATATGGCATACAAGCTCCATCAATTTTCTAATAGAGCGTCATACGTGAACTGAATTTTCTAATTCAGTATGAACCAAGACATTATTGAAGTCTCTCTCTGAAACTTGCTGAGCAATGACGCTGGGTTGACGAAATGTTACGGTAGGCTTCAGTTTTTGAATATAAGGTTGACATTACCGCTAAATACTAATTGACGATCAGGACGATGAATGATTACGATTCCCTAAGCTTTTTTCAGAAATACCTACATTTTTCTAAAAAGGTCATTAAAAAATTAATTGGATGGCTATACTAATGAGAGTGCTAAATAGGACGAAATAGCGCTGACTGCGATTGGTCATGGTTAGAGAGACAGAAAACAATCACGTCCAGTTTAGCCTGTGACTGCTTCTATATTTATGCATATAACGCCACTGCGGTCAGTGCTGGATGGCGTAGGTTTTTCATAGTTACCGGCTCAGACTACCAGCATTGATTTCGTCACCCATTTGCGCACAATAGCTTTACTCCACACGACATAAGAATTGTATCATCTACACTTGAGCTCTGCATGCATGTCTTGATCGTCATTCCATTTCCAGTTGGTTGTTCCTTGTACCAGCATGCTCATCTGAACCGCGGTACGTTTTTAAATAATATCCCATCCCGATCTCCCTCTCCCTTAGTGATCCTAAAATGTAATTTTTTGCATTTTGAGTCACAAACGAGAGTCAATCAAGATAACTCCAGCTTGAATGATTAACTGGATGACCATTACCTTCTTTCGATTTTGTGATTCACTTGTAACGTGATTTTATCGTATGTCTTTTCACTTACTCAGTTAAACTATTAATTCCAACATATCTGTAAAAAAGACATCTCAAAACATCAGTGTAGGGGAGACCGGAGATGGTTGACTATAGGGGTAGGTAGACTAACTACCAAACCGCCAACGATATGAGTATTACGTCATCCCGGCCCACACGCGCATTACTCTCCGACCCCCACTCAGTCGTCCGGAGCGCCACGTCATGGATGCACGCCGTTTTCGAGCAGTGACACGTGATTTGTTTTCGTATCATGAAAGTAATATACCCATATTGCATATTTTTCCATGTGACACTTACGTATTTTCTGTTAACCATTTTCCAATTAGTCAGAGTGTTTCGTGAGTGCATATTGATAATATTTCATGTATTATTTATTAAGTTGATGGCAATGTTTAGGTAACGCATGCCATTGAAACTTAAAATGGCGTCTGGGGTTAGTAGACTAACTTCTTTCGGGGCTGGTTGAACAGTTATTCAACCAACCCCAATATAATTTGAAGTTTAAAATATCTCGTAAATAAACCTTTTATTCGTGTTTCAATATTCATTCTGTTACAGTACAATGATGACCTATAAAAGAAGGACTGAACGAGCTGATACTCCAAAAGATGTCCTAGAAAGAGCTTGTCACCTAATAATTTTTGACACAAAAAGTATTAATGAAACTTCAAGACAATATGACATTTCCTATAAGGCATTACATCTTTATCTGGAGGAATCAAAGGAGAAATTGGACCGTACTCCGAACTTGACGAGAGCAGAACTAACTTTGGACTCAGTGGGATATATTAAAAATAGGCAAGTTTCCACTGATGAAGAAGAAAGAAGAAGAAGAAGCTTTAGCAAGTTATTTAAAAAAAGCCGCTGATATTTATTATGGATTGACACCATATGAGACCCGAAAATTAGCATGTCAGTTCGCCATAAAAGTAACAAAACTATGCCTGATTCTTGAAGAACAAAATTGTTAGCGGGCGAAGATTGGTTAGGATCGTTTCTCAAACGTCATCCTTCCTTATCCATAAGGACACCTCAAGCAACAAGCCTTTCAAGAGCTACATCATTCAACAAACATAACGTCAGTATGTTCTTCGCCAATTTATCTGATGTTTACCAACGTTTCAATTTCAGCCCTGGTGATATCTGGAACGTTGATGAAACAGGTATGACAACCGTGCAAGTACCTAATAGAGAAATAGCACGACGCGACGTGGTGTTAAAAATCTAGGCAAGATGACATCTGCTGAGAGGGATACACTGGTGGCAGTTGCAGTAGCTGTTTCAGCTGTGGGAAATATAGTTCCACCATTTTTGGTATTCCCATGCGTCCATTATAAGTCCCATCCTGTTAGAGGTGGCCCTATAGGATGTGAAGGTGATGCTAATCCGTCTGGCTGGATGAAAGAAGAGAACTTTATGAAGTACGCCAAATATTTCGTGAAACATGTTAAACCTAGTAAAGAAAAACCTGTACTTTTGTTGTTGGATAACCATGACTCTCACTTATCGATTGAAGCGTTGCATTACTTTAAAACTAGGGTGTCAGTTTTATAATTCCCTCCACATTGTAGCCACAAGCTACAACCTCTTGACAGATCTGTGTACGGACCATTGAAAAAGCATTTCAACCGAGCAAATAACAACTGGCTGGCTAGTAACCCAGGAACGACTATCACAATTTATAAAACAGCGGACCTGATTAAAACGTCACTACCATTGGCTGCTACAATTGAAAATATTCAATCAGGATTCGGAGTATCTGAGGTTTCACCATTGAATGAAAACATTTTTCCTGACTCCGAGTTTAGTGGTTCTTATGTAACAGATAGGCCGATGCTCAGTTCCCCTGATGGTGATAATCCTTCAGCATGTGATGTGAGCACAGTGTCTGTTCCATCGATTGCTGAAGCATCTAACAGGTTGTCTATCGTCTAGGAGGTTCCAATTCCTGATCACCATACGATAACTGAAACTCACTCTCTGGCACCGAAATGTTTATCTGTAAATACAGACCAGATTACTACTCGTACCACAACAACCTCTCCTACAAGATCTTTGAGGACTGAATGTGAGTCACCTTCTCTTTTTGACGAAACGTTCAATTCTGTATTTGAACCGGAACTGAGAGAAAACCTCAAAACACCAGAAAACGTTCATTCTACAGAAGCAAATGTGCCCCCATCTTTGCACAATCTAAACCTTTCCTCAACTTCATCAGCAACATTTGAAGAGCTAAGACCCTTTCCAATACCGGCGCCACTTTTAAATAATCGAAGAAATATTCGGAAACGTAAAAGTACTGTACATATATACCGACACCCCGGAAAAACTTAATCTTTTAGATGTGAAAAACAAAAGAGAAGCATATTAGAAGAAAAAACCAGATACAAAGGACAAAATAGAAAAAGGAAAAGGGAAGGGCAAAGGAAAAGGAAAGGAAAAGGAAAGGGTAAATGAAAAGGAACGGATAAAGTTGATGAGATTGCTGATGTCACCGTCCATGAGAATGATGGTAATGCTGTAGATTCAGACGACGAGAGTACGATGTGTGTAGAGTGCACTGAATCCTACGTCGATAGTGTTCCAGGCGAACAATGGATTCAGTGCATAACTTGTAAGTTATGGGCTCATTCCAAATGTGTAAGAGATGATCTAATGTTTTTTGAATGCAAACATTGCGCTTCTGATATTGAAGACTTATATTATAAGATATCAAGGAACTGTTTAATTAATGAAACTAATAGATGTTTAAATAAAAACTAGGAGTTGATAGTTTTGTTAAAGACTTGTTGTAAGATAATGTCTGTAACTGATTAAAATTGTTTTTTGAATAAAAAGTTTTATTAAATTATAAAAAAAGTTTCATAACTTGACTCTTTTCATAATTTGTCCGTTATTGATACGTAAGTCTACTTACCCCGGGCATATAGTCAATCTACCCCGGAGCCGCGGTAAATTGACTAAGAATTGGAATGCGTTAAATTATGATCATTATATTGAATAGAATAACTACTTTTTATATTTTTTTATAAGTTCAGTAGTTCTTCTATCCATTGATGCAGTTTTATCGTCTGTATGTCTAAAAGCACAAAAAATATGTATAATGTAAAAAACTAGTCAACCATCCCCGGTCTCCCCTATAAACGAACCCTTACTTACCTATAATAGTTGAGTATTTGAGCAAAGACCCCTGGATGTCTATCGAAGAAATACTCGTTCAATATAGGATCATAGTTGGCGAGCGCCTCGGTGAGTCGCGACAACCTCGTAGCTGGGATTTTCTTCAACGTTGCTTTATATGTTTCGTATCTGATTCCTCCAACGTTTAATATGATACGATTTTCGCCGTCCATAACGCCATTGCAGAATCCGGCTTAGTTTGAAATTATCTGAAATAAAAGCAGGAAATGTAACTTTTCCAACCCAACGACAAGTAATGTTATTATCGACCTGGATTTCTAGTTCCATTACCGATCTACCAAGGTACATAAAACAGGCGCATACCTAAAAGGGCTACATGTAGATTAGAGAATTGAAAATGTGATTCATCAAAATCTTGAGAATCTGGTGCTGATTATTCCAGCATACTACTGGTACTTTTAAGGCATATGGAATTATTTTCAGTATTGGATTAACCTCATACTTCTGGTGAATTTTAGCTGTTGTAAGAGCTTTCGTAATGATGTGTGCACATGAAACTCTTCTTCAGATGACGCTGGTATCGTACGATTCAACATGTTCCTAGATGATTAATTAAGCAACAGGTAGTACCCATCAGCATCTTCCAACAAGGTATACAAGCAGGTTCAGACAATCGGTGTTACGACCACCCTACATCGGTAATCCAAAAGGACAGGAGATCAGGAGATATATTGCGCGCTAGCCCAGATCCCTCTTGTGTTAAATGAGGAGCAGGATTGAGGTCAGGAGCGGCTCGTACACAAGAGATCTTAGGCATGTCGATACCCCAGCTCCAAAAAAAAAAGCATACGAAAATTTTCAGAGAATTGATACATGGAATGGCCGATAAACTAGTCTCAGGAAGGCTTGCACGCTGCACTTGCTGAAAATTCTATAAGAGATACAAACACTGTTTTTATCAAGACAATTTTATCGGGGTGACAGGAAATATTATATTCTACCGAGAACAGATCCGAGGCAACTAAAATTCGTCTGATACAGCTGAATAAAGTCCTAGCGAGTCAAAGAGAACTAAGGTGTTCCAAGGAAAGCTGGGGCAATTCAAGAAAAACCGGGGCACGTTAAGGACATTTTCTATCTTGACGGGAGGATTAGAGCAATCCATGGAGACTCTTATCTACTGACAGGAGATCCTAGGCAATTCCAGAAGATCTAGGCAATCCAAAGAAACTTGAGCCAATTCATGGATATCTGAGTATATCAAGGTGAGTTGAAGAAATGTGAGGTAATAACAATGAGATACAAAGAAGCCTGAGTGAAGATATTTTTTTCAACGCAGGGTCAGTGGCTAATGGTTAGCTCTTCGGGCTTTAGCATTGTACGCTAATGGCTATATCTAGGCACTTTTCCTTCTTAGTTCCAGATACGAGGGACGTCTTTTAAGTTTTGCATATAGAAACATATTAGGCCGCGCGGATCGAACGTCAGTACTGAATCTTAACCGCACTCTTTAGTAAACTTAAATTCAAAGTTTCACAACAGTACGTGCAGTGTTCTCACTACAGTGAATTTTTAAGTGTCACCAAGTCAGTACAAAAATGGAACTCAACCGAGAACATTTTCGCGCCATAATTTATTACAACTTTCAGAGACAATTATCGCAACAAGAATGCCTTGCTGAGTTACTGTCTGTTTTCGGCAACGAAGAGCCACATCAGTCGACAATTTGCCGTTGGTATGGAGAATTCAAACGTGGACGGGTGAGTCTTAGCGACGATCCCATGGTGGGTGCACCAAAAACGGCAGTCACCCAAGATAACGTCGATGCTGTGCGCAAACTCATCATTGAAGATAAACAAGTGACATATCGTGAGATTGAGGCGTCCTTGAAGATCTCAAGGACCTCAATTCAAAAAATTTTACATGAAGAATTAGGAGTAAGAAAATTAATTTCTTGTTGGGTATCCCACCTGTTGGCTGAAGAGCAGAAAGCAGCCAGGGTTAATTGGTGTCAAAAAACGCTTGACCGTTTCAATTCCGGAAACTCAAAAACTGTGTACAGCATTGTTAGTGGTGATGAATTGTGGATTTACTGTTATGAACCAGAAAATAAACGACAGTCGGCTGTTTGGGTGTTCCAAGGTGAAGAAAAGCCAACAAAAGTCATCCGTTCTCGAAGTATTTCGAAAAAGATGGTCGCAACATTTGTATCAAAAGCGGGTCATATTGCAACAATTCCTCTGAACGAGGAAAGAACTGTTACTGCGGATTGGTATACCACCATTTGTTTGCCAAAAATCATCACCGATCTTCGAAAAATCAACCCCGAAAGAAGAATCATCCTCCACCAAGACAATGCAAGCTCGCACACAGTCCAAAAAACAAGGCAGTATTTAATGGAAGAAAACGAGGAATTATTGGACCACCCTCCATATAGTCCCGATCTAAGTCCTAAAGATTTCTTTACTTCCCCGAAAATTAAAAACCGACTGCATGGTCAAAGGTTCCAGTCAGCAGAAGAAGCTGTTGACGCATTCAAAAATGCCGTTTTGGATCTGCCAGCAAACGAGTGAAATAAGTGCTTCGAAAATTGGTTCGAGCACATGCAGATGTGTATTAATCTTCGTGGAGAATACTTCGAAAAACAATAAAGTCATTTAAAACTACCTACCGTGTTGTTTTATTTCCATATGCAAAACTTAAAAGACATCCCTCGTATCCAGAATGTAAGAGAAGAAATTGCAGTAAGCTGTTTTACAACGGAATTATATTCTTGTGTGTATTTAAAAAGGCAGAAAAATTCGCGTATATTCAAATGGCTATGGATTGGTGGTAAGAGCGTTCAAAAAAATAAGTAGGGTATGAAAATGTCTTCTGAATGAGATCTTGTACGGCCAGTTTGCTATTTTTACTGGAAAATACATAACAGTAAATCTGAAATAACGGACAAAACGTATAACCTTTGTGGTACTAAACGTTCAAAAATCAATTTCGTTCAAAAATCTTCAACGGTTTCTGCAAATTTTTAATTGTTACCTTCAATTCCTTTTTTTACAAAGGTGGCCCTCTTTGACGAGCTGCGTTTTTGGATCAATCAGTTGACCTAGTGCTGCGCTAATCTTTTTGAATGATCATTGTGTTAAAAGGGATACCAGAGAGATATTCTTATACTAACCATGTAAGAAAGTGTCGCCAAAGGTACACCTATTTTTGTTCATAGTAGTGCAAAATTCGTTGCTGTTTGTCATTCGTAGCTAGAGTCTCACCACTGAAAACACGATCAAAACTAGATGCTTTGCCAAAAAGTTAACCTTTTTTTGGCAATTATAACCGAAAGTAACATTTTTTCTGAAAGAAACCACCGTAACGTTAGTGATCAACACTAATTCTGCCCATGCATAAAAGAGAATTTGGAGTTTATTAAGCTCCCTGTTGCAAAGTCAACCGTGTCATATTGCGACTACGAGCACCCTGTAAAGGTAAGGCATCCTACGGCAAATTCAAATGGCATATAAATATTTTTGACAGCTTTGCGTTGGTATTCAAAAATGGGCATGAGTTCAAACCTTCCTGTAGATGCTACTTTACCTTTTTATTGTCTATCTGACGTGTTTCTTCGACCCCTTAAGGTCCAAAGAAGTTCCTTTTTTTACAGAGTGTGTATCTCTCATCAGCCATTCAGTGGGAACATCCTGGGGCTTGATTCTAAATGAGTTTCGACTGTTGAAATTGATTTCGATGGCGCCTTGTGACGGTATACTTAATTAGCTATGATAATTTTGGCACTGCCATGATAATTTCATCAAATGTATCGTCACAAGGCGAAATTGAAATCAATTTCAACGGTCAAAACTCACTTAGAATCAAGCCCCTGATTATAGGAGAACCTGGTATCTTCTTTGTTACCATGTTAAACTAAGTCTTTAGCAAGGGAATGAGTTTAATGTGCAACGATTTGATTGATCCCAAGTCGCTGGACTGCTTCTCAAGGATGGCTGTTTCTCTCAAAAATTAATAATATTTTTGAACTATTTTTAAGCACTTTCCAATAAAGGATATGATTTGATATTGACTTTTTTGTGAACAAACTCGCCGTTACTACAAAGTGACCATGTATGGATCCAATGTTATCCCCTACAAATTCTTTTGAACCACCTACACCGGTCAAATACAAAAAAAAAACAGTTTTTTCAAATTTGCCGTTTGATAAGAAAGTTTACCGGCAAAAATGTCTATATCTTTCGTTGAGGGACATTTTGATATAATAATATTAATATAATTCCGTTGTACAACAGATACCGTGTTACAAAGTGTTTTTATTGGAGAACTACGTCGATAAACAGTTCTGGCCAGCCTGACATAAACTAAGTCTAGATTAGCTTCAATGAGACATTCAGATTTTGTGTTACCCTGACATTTGTAATAGGAGTACAAACATCGGGTGTAAATGACCGTTATGCTATATGTGTAACTGTTTCACTGCGATTTGTTCCTCTTGTGATATTTTTTCTGATCGGGAAAATCTCTATTGGATTGTTACCGAGATTGGTATGAAAATGAATGTATATTCATTGACGGTTTGCTCCTCTAGAGGGGTTACGCGCCCAAGTAACAATAAACATTTGTTTGCATATTAAGGTATGATTGAATCAGATAACAGTAAGTTTTGTTTCAACTTACAAAAGTTTTTCCATTTCCTCCCTCGTTTATCATAAATCAGCAAGCGAACAGCTAATGGCATATATTAAAGAGAATACTACCATCGGCCCTCAAAACTCTGATATTTCTGTTTACAGTTGTAAGAGCCTTGGCACTGGCTCTTTACCTAAGTTTTGTGCAGACATTATATCTAGTACCATCGAAGTAAAGGAGTGACCTGCAAATGGAGCTTAAGCAGACTAATGTGTGGGCAAGTTCAAAGTTTGAATATTCTGCTTGGAATGATAGTTTTGGAAGCAATTATAATATGGTACAAAAGGTGAAACAATACATTGCGTCTTATCAAATGTGAATATTCCTTCAGAGTTCCATCAATGTCGTACTTTGACAGTTGACTTAACATCAATAATATTTAATATGAGCTGCATTTCAAAATTATTATTTTAACAAGTTTGATTCTCTTCAATATCTGCTAAATGTTTACCTTCCAGCATGCTATTTTACCAGACGGATTATTTACACCAATCTTTCCGAAGACAAATTTTGAATTTGGATATTTTCTCAGTTACCAGCCATCTTGAATCGTTGCAAGGGTTGTTTTGGGATAACTT